TTCTTTTAAGAGTCTAAAATATAATATTCATTTGTTTTTTATGGTCACTGCATAATTTCATATGTTATTTCACAGTTTGACGTCTTCACTGTTATTCTAAAATGAGTACAATGATATTCTTAAAATGAAGAAAATGAGTAGATGTCTAAATCTTTGGTAAAGTATATATATAAGGATTAAAAGAGAGATTCTATATAGGAGAGTGAATAGAGCCTCTCTGCACTGAGGAATTGTTTATCTCATTTGTCATTTGTATGTGCCAGTGTTTCCCTCTTGTGGTCAAAAACAGAAACAGCAAAAGCACAAACAACTATGTTTCTGTTTTCTATATAAAGAAAACTATGCAAATGAAAGAAGCCAACAGGGTCCAGATGTTTCCTTATCAATATGTCTACTTTTTATCAATATGTCTTTTCAGCATAAACATGAGCTCTGAATCCTAATTTGAAAACCTTTTCATCAACGCATTTTTATCTTTGTAACATGCAAAACAATATTGTGAATGAAGCATTAAATGGCAATCTTTGCTTTCTGGACAAGGAGCATTCTAAATGATAACCTATCTAATAATCATCCTTCATCATGCTTTTTTACTTGATTCCACTAGATGGTGTCATTTCCCTTCTTGCATTATAAAAGGGCTTTCTGCATCCTTATAATACAGAGCCTTCAAACCTGCCATTACCTCGCACTGACAGCATACGCACACTGTCAGCCTTAAATTAATAAAACCATTTTCCTTTCATGTTCTGCTGGTGTAGATTAGCTGCAGATACTGGCCTGCAGATTTCCAACAACATCACTATGACTAAAGCCGTGATCAGCAGCTAACAATGAAGAGTGCAGGAGATTTCAGCTCTACAGCTTTTCTCTGGTTTACCGTTTGATACGCTTCACTCACTGTGCTGCATTTATTTCAGTCTCTAAATGTTTCACAGTGTTTAAACCTGATTTTTTAAAAGAAAATGAAACAGAATGACCCTTTAGCTTAAGTTGAAAACAATTTCCAACACTTTTCACCTTGGTTTCATCATCACAGCAATCAAAATAATGTCTTGCAGTAAAAATGTCGTGTCAAATTAATTTGAGCAAAACACTTCAGCACAATTATGTTCATTTTAATTGAAAATGTAAACCAATTTATGTTGAGGAGATTGATCTAATTGAAAGAGAATGTCTCCCAAATAATTACCACAGTTCGCATTTTTTTCTCTCCTCCTCACAAAGCCAATTAAACTAATGTTTTAATTTCTTTAATATTATCTTTTCAGATGTAATTGTTGCTTGGGTGCCTTGCAGGGTTTCCTGCTTAATGTGTTTGCGTTGCAGCCTACTGCGTCTCTGATTAAAACATTAACACGAAACATGTTACTGCAGAAATAAATTGCAGCAATCTTCAGAGTGTGCAGTTATCTCATGTATAATGTGTTCATGTTGTCATCGCTGCTGCTAGCTGAGTGTAAGAGAATCATTACCAACTGGTACAAAGAACTGAGTAAAGGTGAAATAAAATAAATCAGTGGTGCACAAATGGAAACTTCTCTTTCTTTCAGCCACTCAAGCCACAGAGGAAAGTAACCGTAGTTTTGCTATTTAAAGGTACAAGCTGGAGCGTTTCTCTGAACTCTACTGTTAGTGTAACTAACAGGTAGACTTAGTGGAAGCTTATAGAGCTGTAAAGTACAGTACTGTGCAAAAGTCATAGATCATCCAATTAATTCTTAGTTAAACGGTCATTAAGTACAAGTTATTCATTTTTTAGCATCAGAGAAAAAAGCAGAAAACATATTGTCACTGTCCAAAACAAACAAACAAAAAAAGAAACTCTTTTTTTTAATCTCCATTTCTTTTCAACTTGTACTTTTCTACTTTATTTGTACAGAGCAGCCGCCCATTGCCTTGTGTCAAAATTTTACCAATAGAAATGTTCCAAATGCTCAAAAGTTTGCCTGGAATAAAATCTCTTTACATTAAAGGTGAAGATTTTTTTGCCTTTTACCATTTTGGAGAGACCCATTTTCATTGTTTACCAGAAAAAATGATTTCTTAATGATTTATTATTATTTCAACCTCAGGTTCCTTGGCCTTTGCACATTTTCTGTGAAGAACATATAAAATAACACATTATCAATGACTTCACACTTTTCACCCCTACACACACTTATGTTACACATGTGGTATTGGGTGAACCCGCAGAGAGCAAAAGTGTGGAGACTCTGTGTCCCTTCACTTTGTTCTCCTCCTACATGGCCTGCTGTTTGTGTGTGTATGTGTGTGTATGTGTTTGTATATGTGTGTGCGTGTGTGTGTGTCTGTGTGTGTATGTGTTTGTATATGTATGTGCGTGTTTATGAGGGTGGACAACATGGACAGGCTGCTGACTGGCTACAGCTGCTAAAGGAGAACCCTACGTTGGCCGCTTGTGATATTTTAAACATCTGGTATTTTTACATAAATTGTTGTGGTGGGTCCACCAGACCTCCGTGTAACAAACACATCAACACCACACAAGGGTTAACAGCAACTGAATATAATATACATTTTTTTTTTATTTATAATATGTCCACCCTTTGCCTTTATTACAGTTACATACCTCCAAAGTTCAGTCTTAGAAGTTGAAACTTACAAATTTAGACTCGGCCCATAAAACCTTCCAAATCTCAGATGTCCAGTTTTGTGTTCTAATGCAAATTTTCTTCTTTTTTTGTCTATGTCCTTTTCTCAGTGAGGGCTTCTTGACAGCTACACATCCTTTCAGACCCATAGTGCTGAGTTGTCTTCTCACAGTGGAAGGAGGACAGAAACTGATCTGGAGCAAGAGTAGAGCTTGATTTTCTCCCCTCTCTCAAAGATGAAAGCTTTAAGTGCTGTTTATCTGATGGGAGCAGTTTTGGTGGTCTACCAGGTTTTGCACGGTTGTCAGTTAAAAACTCCTTTTCTCTAATCCTCTGCTTTGCTCCATCAAAACACATCAGGCTTAAAGGAACAAGGTTAGGGGGACAGAGAGCTGAGGCCAGAGGGTGAGGTAGCAGCACATGTGGTGTGAGGAGTGATGAGTCGGCGGCTTGGAGGAAAAAAGTGGCCGTGTGGCTGGAATTCTGCTTGGGTGGCACATCTCTGTTATGAGGTCATGTTGCGCATTACTCACGAGGATAGAATGCATTGTTGTTGTTTTTAAGACATGGCGCTTGTGAGCGCTCGTGCCAAGCCGCACAATGAATGAGGGCCTTAGAAATGCGACTTGAATCAGCTGCGGGGGACAATGCGAGCAGCATACTTTACTGCACTCTCAACAGCAGCCTTTATGTCATGGATTAGTGGCACCTTAGCAGACTGCAATGGGGTAAAAAATATTTTCAATGGCCCTCATGCGGGAGAGGTCTAGAAACAGGACAGCAGCTGTTTTCAGGTTTGTTTCAGAGAGGAATGACCAATCAACACCTACCACTGTTTCAAATTAAAAAAGAGATGGTTAATGTGACCACAGTTAAAATTCAGATTCAAATGTCCAGCATTTTGGGTTGAATTGATAAAGTAAACCTAAAATACTGTGCAAAGGTCAGAGACCATCCTTCATTTAAGTTTTAGTCAAAATGGCCATTAAGTAAAAATTTTTAAAGAGATATTTCTGATTAGTTATTAGACAATCCTCATGCATAAGGACGAAAGTCAGAGGAAAACAAGTCAAAAAAATAATTTGGAGTTCAAAAAAGATGAAAAGATACGGAGAAAATGAGACTAACAACCATGCAAGACCTGGTAGACCACCAAAACTGTCCCTATCAGATAAACAGAACTGTTGTCTTTGAGAGATCAAGCTCCACTCTTGCTTCAGATCTGAAAAAATCCACAGGTGTTTCTGTCCATCCTTCCACTGTGAGAAGACAATGCAACACTATGAGTGTGAAAGGTTGTGTAGCTGTCAAGAAGCCCTTACTGAGAAAATGAAATCGAGAAAAAAGATGATATGTACATCAAACAAAGAAGCTGCTGGTGTCAAAACAATGGACAGAGTCCAGTCCTCAACATTGCTGAATGTGGGATAACTTGGATCATGTGAAGCAGAAAATGTAACCAACTGAACTTTAGAGGTGCGGAAAATATCCTGGCAGTTTTCTTTGAAAACCTAAAAGCGAGGATCCTGAAAAGAATGAAAGCTGTAATAAAGGCAAAGACCAGACACACTAAATACTGAAAAGGGTCTGTCACTTTTGCATAATGCTGTTGATACAAGTAGTAGTTCAAAATCAGATTAACACAGTTAAAGTAATATTTATTAAATTAGGGTAAAATTGAGAAGGATCCTCCAATGTCTTTAATGAACTCCTGTTAAAATCAATCATAAAAATTAAGAGTTTTGACACACATAAGTTTATTTTTCACATACTATTGCCTGTCTGCATACTCAAATCTAGTATACATTGAATGATTCATTTGTCATAGAATACCATACTACACAACTACATTAAGAAGCATATATTCAGACATATTTAGAATTCAGTACAGACACTTCATGAGATAAAAGTCGCAGCCTATACACATTATATCACAATCATTAAGAATTCCACAGATATATCCCAACTTAAAGGTTCACATGGAAATTACTTCATCTTAAACACATTTAATTACTTAAACACTTTTCTTTGTTTTATTTCAGACAAAAAATAAAACAACACAAACGAAACTTCAAATAAACACTCCAGCAGTATAAAAGCAAAGTACAATTCACTTAAAAAATAAAATAAGGGAGAACAAAATTAGCTTACGTTTTCTGAGATGATCTGGGATCACCCAAGTTGGCAGAGTCAACATGATGCAACATGACTACTGTATGGAATCAATCTGCTACATATATAATCATTTAAAGATGCATTTAAACAGTTTATTGAGGATATATTGACTTTCCAGTTTGCAGCAGGTAACACTTCACATGATCCCTGCTACATACATAACATTTACATAACTATGCCAAAAACATGTCATGTTGGATGTTATAAACTGTGATGAGTTGTCATGATACATTTTGTCCAGTAATATAAATGTCATGTTAGACACTTATGACATGTCAGATGTCATAATAAGTGGCCGGTAGCCAGCGACCAGAAGGTTGTGGGTTCAAATGCCAGGACTAACTGAGTATTCCGGACTGTGCCCTTGGTCAAGCAATTACAATCCCCACTGTCCCAGGAAGCGCTGCTCTGCTGGTGATGCTGTGCTGCTCCCAGACTAGGCATAGCTAGGCAGCGAAATAACAAATTTACCTTGTAGGATCAATTAAAGTATAACATAACATGAAACATGTTTAATGTCATGAGCACTAGCTAGAATACACAACAAATAGCATGTGACTTAAGCTGACATAACATCAAACATTATGGCATCTGTCATGGCAGTTATCGCTAATGGTAACATGCTACTGTTATATTACTAAACCAAAATTGTCATGACGGCTCATAACCACATATGACATCGCATATGACATGTTTATGGGATGGTTATATCAGGGTTCAGATATGGTATAACCACTACTACTTCCAAAGTCAACATGAAGCTGAAATTATCAGACTCCTCATCAGCTAGAAACCCTGTGGCCCTACAGACATCTTCATGTTTCAGTCAAAAAAATTTACCTACAGGTACGAAGGTGACTTGAATTCCTCAGGAACATCGCTGTCCAGTTTACAGATGACTTTGTAAATGGCTTTTTTCCAGGAGGGGTCAGTGTCTTTGTTGAGGGAGATGGCGTTATAAAATTCATGAAGTGTGATTTCAGCCACCTCCAGGAACCTGTCAGGGACCTGTCGTTCAGAGGATTATAAAACAGAATGTCTTAGTGATGGGCAGCTATGAAGCCTAGCCTATATTTTAGCAATGTAAAAATGAAAGGAGCCCAGTTCTTAAAAAGGGAGCGGGTGAATCGCATGCAGGCATCTGAACGCAAGCTCATAATATTCAGCACTGGTAGCAGTTGAAGCCAGTGGCAAACCACTCCTGGTCCAAATCAATAAATGAACCTCCAGCCTTTGATGTTGCAGCATGATGGCATGAAGTGAACGGCGAAAGGCAAGAGTGTTCTCCCTCTCTTTTAAACTGTTCATCAGCACGGCACTCTAAACCAACACGGTAGATCTCCCCATATTTATGTGCAATCTTTAATGCACTCACTTCAAAACAGACTGCTCCTTTCGCCTTTGTTCTCGGTGTGTATAAAACAAATACAGTGTCAGAATCATTAGCGGAGCGGCGTGGACGGATGCTTTGATTTTTGGTAGCCTGTTGCTTCGAACTTAACTGTTTGGAAAATGAATGAAAGAACTCCGGCCCTTCCCAGGAATTTAGTCTGTACTTTTGCGACACATCATTTGGTGAGATCAGACTGGTGGTGGAGGGGGCAGTGGGAAGATAGAGGATCTATCTGGTGCCATTATTTCCCATAGAATAGCTAAGCGAGCTGTTGATGGTCAGCACAGGCTATTTTCTTTCCCTGAGTCTCCAAGCACAAAAGCAGGCCCTGGGAAAGGAATGTCTTAGTCCCAAGGTAAAGACAACTGTCTCAGCTCGTTCCCATCGGCCGGCCCTTCGCCCTCGGAATCTGCGGCTTCTTTCTCAGCATTCCGCATCAGTAGCAATCCCAGCCTCGCTCAGGCGTGGCCAGCTCCTAATCCTGAGTTGTTTTAGCAGGATTCTGTGGCTTCCTCTTCCCACAGTTGGCTAAAGCGGCGCTGGGCCCTTGGATAATGGCTCCCGAAAGGCCGCACAGCCACAGGTGCAGTGACACACAGGTCAGGCCGAGGACACTGGCCATACATGATCACAGACTGACTGCACCAGTACCTGGTACTATAGTACATCACTGCTCAGAGGAACTGCATCTTACATATACAGTAGATCACCTGGAAGATACTGACTGGAATGAAAGTAATCAGCTGATAATCCAAGAAATCTTGGAAGTCACTTTTATCCCAGCTGTTACTGTTTACTCAGTAAGACTTCACTAGAGTCAGGAAGATCATCACTAACAGAGCCCTCTTTATGGGCCCATATCATAGAAAAACAAACAAAAAGTGTTCAATGTACTATGTGAACATTGTTGAAGTTGTGATGTCACAGAAATCCTCGTATTCAGCCTACAGTAGTTTAGCCCCACCCATTTATGCAGAGGCTATAAGATGCGTGTCAGCCGGGACTGCTTTTGAATGAGGCATGATATAGGGCAGCCAATCAGAACAGAGCTCATTTACATACATCATTCTTACAGGCGCATTAACAAAAATAGCCTGAGTTTGGAAAACAGTCCTGTAAAAATGAATTACAGGAGTTTTTGTTCATAAACCCACATAAACGTGAGTGGACCTCAGGGAAAAAACCAGAATACAAGAAATATGTAGAATATGGGCCCTTTACTGTTTCCTCTGAGTGCTAACTGCATATGCTGATGTACAGTCGTATGCAAAAGTTTGGGCCCCCTGGTGAAATGACATTTTGGTGATATTCTAAGTGGAAAAAAGTTTACACATCCTCTACAGAGAACACACTTTGTAATGTACAATTACTACTTGTTTGTTGAATTTAACATATAAGAAAACACAAAACTATTAAATCTGAACATTGTTCATCTGCATCACACTATACTGAGTTTTTCACATATTCATACTAATGTGTCATCATGATAGGCTTCTAACAGCAGTCTTTGGTTTTCAAGGATTTCATTTTCACTGTGATAAGATTCTAACTGTAGTCACTTGTTTTCATAGATCATTTTCTCATTTGTTACTTTTACAGGCCTCTAAACGTAGAAGTTTAGGTTTACCTAAATACTTCTGTCCAATGACAGGCTCATTTTTTCTTGATTCCATATTCACTGTTGTATATTCATTGTTAATTCTTTTTTCTTTATCACATTGCGTTATTGTGTTGTTTTGCTATCTGGTGTTAATCAGAGGACGATTCCTCTTTGAGTTTTGTGTGCTCTAAAGTTTTCTTCCTCTTACTCTTAGGGAGTTTTTCTTACCACTGCCACTCAGCTTGCTCATCTGTGGTTTGGACTGGGATGTAAAGCTGGTTCATGATGACCATTCAGTGCTACATAAATAAATCTTGAATTGAATTAAATTAAAATATGGCACATTTTGTATTTTATATTTTGTTTTTCCAATTTGTTAAACTCAGAAAACAAACAGAAATTGTGCACTAAAATGAGCAGAAAATGCCAAAGTGTGTTCTCTGTAGAGGATGTGTTAACTTACTTTCACTTAGAAAATCAGCAAAACATGTCATTTGAATGGGGATGTTCAAACTTTTACACATGGCTGTTTACATTTTAAAGCACTCCCTTTTCCCCCTCTGTGATCTTTGCCATGACTTTCTCAGATTTGAAGGCCCCAGTGTGGATACTTTGAGTATCAACTCTGCTTTGGGCTCTTAAACTTGTTGTAGACATTACATCTACATTCTCAATTGTTTGCATATTTGGATAATGCTTTTGCTGTATGGTTGTAGTATGGGAAGATGCTGTGTGACTGAAGGAGAACTTTGGCTGGAGTTCTGCTTTAAGCTAAAAGGCTGGATCCTCACCTTTTGATGAACAGAGATAGGACTGAGAGAGCACCGAGGAACAGACAGGAGATGAGTCGGGAGTGGGGTGTGAAAACTTCGTCACAGGAAATGGAAGGCAGAGATGAAAATTTATAGGATATTACATTGGAAGAAGTAGGAGCTTGAGGCATGGCCCTCCTCCCAGACTTAAGTTATTTAAAAACTTTATTTATTTGTTCCAAAGTATTTAGCCAGGACTGGATTTTTAGACAGGAGTGGATTTATTTACGCTGTATATGTTCTTGCCTTTTCTTATATATCTTATCTTATCTTATATCTTATAGGCTAATGATCATTTACACAGCAGGCCAAAAGAATAGAAGCAAGCTGTGACTTTTTAAAAAAATTAAAAAATAAAGTCAAATTGGTAAAACAAATTACTAACACTGACATCTTGTTTAACCAAAGACGTTTATGTAAAATATTGCATTGGTGCAGTGATTGATTTTAGTATTTTACTCTAGTCTATTCTATGGGAAAAGGCTCCACACTGTCTGTTGATAACAGCCCCTCACATTCACCAGTTTTTAATTATTTACAAACTCCTAATTTAATACTCATGACTGATTAAGCCTTCAGGAGCATCTGATTCAGGGAATCTAGTGAATATAATTAGGGCTGTAATAAAACTTTGCAGACATTTAGTCAGTTAGAGTTGCTTCAACCTCTTGGCCTGTAATGTACATCTAAAAATGTCAGCCTGTATTACCTAAGATTCTGTTTGTTTGATTGGATGGTTGGTCATTTTTTGGTGGAGGTGTTTATCCTTAATATACATATCTCCATTTTACAGATATTAGTTCACTTATTAGAATCAGATATAAATCATTCTTTTCCAGTTCACTGAAAACCATCACACAAAATTCTCCAAAAATGGACGTCATTCACACCATCTCTCATACGGCCTAATCCTGTGTTTCCACTATGTTACTACTCAGCTCTTGCAGTAGAATGGTTCACTTTGGGGTTAAATTTTACTGGGTAACCTTTTATACAAAATAGTTAGAGCTCATTAGATAAACTTTAAATGTTGATTCACATTTGTATTTTAAACTTCATTCTGCAGTGTACGCCTACATGATTTATGAGAAAGAGAAAAACATTCATTCACTTCATGCTCATTCAAGCTAATTCACTTCAAGCTGCCAATCCCACCTCTTTGATTGTACTGCCATGCATGTAATGCTGGAACACCTCGTACACCTATAGACATTTTAGGATACACCATTTTTAGCATTTAGAACACTGCAGCCAGTGTCACACAAGCTCCTCTACCTCTCTTCTTTTTTTTGTATGATGAGTCTGTACTGCATAGAAAAAGATCTTACAGCAAGGAATTCTCCTGATTTACTGTTAACACTTACAAGGATAGTTAGTCATTGTGCTGTTCATGAAATATATACAGTGAAAAAAACAAATGTAATGAAATTAGTTGGTTTCCATATGGATGAAATATATTGCATCAACACAATTTTGTCTTTGTTTACTTATATTTGAAAATAATGGCATTGATGTAATAATATGATGTACAGTACCGTGCAAAAGTCTTACCTGAGCACATTTCAAACCATTAATCTGGGCAATAAGTGTGTTTTTCTTGCAAAAAACACCAGAAAAACAGTGAAATGTAACAAAAAAGCAGTTGATATCTTGTGAACTGATCAGAAGAACAGTTTTGTTCTAGATTTCTCCTCAATGCCTCCAGCCATCACATGCACTTTGATAAAATCCATCACCAGCACACTTGATTTAACACAATGAAGTATTGCTTAGCCAAACCAGGTTATTGATGATAACTACAAATAGCTTGCATTAATTGTATTACTGTTATATTAGTGTTTTTTCGGGCAAATAAACACTCATTTCCCATATTAATAGCTTTTTAAGTCTATTTTCTCCTATTTATTGTAAAAATACACTTATTTTAAGTCTTTGCACATGTATAAGTAATTTTAATGCATCACTTGTTTTAGTGCACTAGGATAAGCAAACAGCAAAACCATCAGGACATGCAGACACTTTAATTCTGCTTTGAAGCTTCAAGGGAAACTCAACCAATTTTTCAAAATGTCTGCATTATTAAATTATTTTGGCGTAATTAAATGGCTGAGACATTCAGAGTGGTCTGGTGTGAAATGTTTCGTTCTAGAGAAACTGGTTGAGTCAGAATTGTTCAAAGTAGTGCTGACAGAAACCAGACGTTCACCTCACAGAAAGTTATTACCTTAAATGATGGTGAATACTCAGCCTGATGTCTGAGACAGTAGTTTAGTGATAAAGTTTTACTCTAAAACGTAATCAATTGATTTTAATCTATGCATGGTGGAAGGATACATGAAGGGTGTTCTAAGGCAAAATAGTCCCAAAGAAAACTCTTTTTCAGATTTATTTTACCATCACCAGCATTACATATAAAAAAAACTGGTGGTTTTGGATGGTAAATAAAATTGCTATATTTGTGTTGTAGACGTCAGGACCCCTGGTTCCCATCACTGTCAGTAAGTCAGTAAGTTTCTCTACAAATTAACCATTTCACATCAAACCACTCTGAATGACTATGTTTACATTTCAATCACTGAATTATGCAGACATTTTAAAAATCATTGGAATTCCCCTTTAAATTCTGAATTGGTTCCAAAACCAAAAATGAATACAGCGTGCCATAATACACGCAGTATCATTTGTCTTAATTTGTAATGTAACTGACTCATTACAGCCTGTAGAGAAGGAAGAAGTACCTGGAAGTCATTGGCTTTGTTGTAGTGCATGTTGAGAGCGCGGAAAAGTTCAGAGTCTCTGGTAACAGCCAGGTCTTTCACATCACTCACACCATCCACAATGGCCTGGCGGGCAAACTTCTCCATCTGTATGTAGTAGAACTCTCTGAAGTTACTGAACCACTTAATAAGCTGGGAGGTGATGCAGCGATTAAACTGAAAACAGATAAGAAAAGAGAGGGAAGACAAGTCAGATAACATCAACAAAAGCCAAAAATGCATTAAATAATAACTCCTTCATTAATTAGGTAACTCATATTGCTCACTTTTCCTTTCTGTGGTCAAGTTCTTCTTTTGTGGCCAAAATGAATGCAAAAGCATTTGCATTCTTATCTGTCACACTGTTATCATTGATTATATGGTCTGTTTCATGAGTGCTCATCGATCTTTTTAAGTCATTACCCAATTCCTCGTTCCCACCAGCTTATTGCCCCTAAACTAGCAGCTATAAAAACACTGGGCTAAACTCAGTCTTGACATTAGCCTTGTTATTATATCTGCTCATCCAAAAACTGAGAGAAAGAAAAAAGGAGGGAGGAAAAAAAACGCCCAAGGGCTGAACCGCCATCAAAGACATTTCTTCCCTCGCTGTGCACCGGGTGAGAAAGCCACTGTGTAAGAGGCCAGAAGGAAGCTTCCCTCTCAGTGACTTTGGCTGATAGGAATGGAATCAGACACTGGGATTAGCTTTGCCTTTGTTCACCGTCACTTCCCACACAAGGGTCGGCCCTGGACAAGGAGGAGACTCGGCCAGGCTCTCCTCGCCGACCTCTGGAGGTCAGGGGAACCCAACAGTCCCATCAGCCCCAGCAGGAAGTGCTGCAGGGGTGGAAGGAGCCACACCAGACAGGATGCTGTCTGCCAACCTGCTCTATAGCAGTCGCCCTACTCACTATTCCAAAGACGCGTCTGTAAGAGCTAATCGTTTAATGACATGGAAAGTTCGATTGCAGTCACATTTTGCTGCAGCCATGTCAAAATGTCATAAATCCATTTTTCCCGCTATTGAAAACACCAGCTGCCTTTTACATCATGTGAACACTTCATGATGAATGTGCCAATAGAAACTGTCTCAAATTAGTTGATAAAATCTTGTTACATTAATATATATGTACATATTAAAGTTAAAAATGTTGTTCCTTTTTCCATAATGTTATTTCACAGATAAAAGTTTCTGTTATAAATGACAATACGATTAGATAATCCACTTGCTTAAAAGAAGGGCAACATAAGGAAGAGAGAAAGGAAAAAAAAGTGGAAGAACATAAAGCTTTCATCTTTAAGAGAGAGGAGAAAATCAAGCTCCACTCTTGCTTCAGATCAAAAAAAATCACAAACATTTCTGTCCGTTTTTCCACTGTGAGAAGACAACTCAGCACTATGGGTCTAAAAGGATGTGTTAGCTGTTAAGAAGCTGTTACTGAGAAAAGCAAACAAATTAGACAAAGATTACTTGGATTGAGAACTTCTAAGACTGAACTTTGGAGGTGTGGAAAAATATCTCTGCAGATTCTTTGAAAAACTGAAAGAGTCTCCTGAAGGAATGGAAGCTGTAATGAAGGCTGAGAGTGACCACACTAAATACTGGAACACTGATATTATATTCTGCTTGTTTTCCTGATAAAGAAAAGTTCATAGTTGTTTTGTTTGGAAATTTAGGAAATAAAGTGTCGTCTCTGATTTATGGACAATAATGTATGTAGCTCCTTTGTGCATAACTGAGCTTAGTAACATTTTAATAATACAATATGAGTTAAAAGACACACAATTCAGTGTATATTTATTTATAATTGCCATTTAAGGCTTATTCTTAAATGCTTGAAACCTATTTCTAAGACAAATGTCAATTTCAATGTTTATATGTATGTATAAAGTTGTTTACAAAACAAAACCTCTAAATTAAAATATATGTATGTTTTTTATTATCTGCTCCAGTCAAAGCAGCTAACAAATGCTCAACATGTGCAGGAATTTCTTCAAGACTGCTGGAAAAGCATCCCAGGTGGCTCCTTGTGAAGCTGCCAAGAATGTGCAAATCTGTCATCAAGGCAAAGAGAGGCTACTTTGAAAGGTCTAAAATATAAGATTGTTTTGATGTGTTCAAGAGTTTTTTGGTCAATGCATAATTCCACATGTGCTCGTTCACTGCTTACTATTACTCTAAAATATGGGAAATAGTAAAACTAGTGCATCGTGCTATGCAGTTGGATAGAAAATACCAGTGCTGTTACTGAGCCCTGAAGGTTTTAATAAATGGAAGCAATATAAAACAAAATTCTGTCTGCTCTCTACTGTAAAGCACAAATATAGCTCACTAAATAAAAAAAAATAGTCACCACATTTCCAAAGCCCAGCCTTCCCTGTTTATAACGTTTATAAGACCAATTATGGAACACTACACCTCTGAGTATGTGACAGACAATAAACCCTTCCAAAAAAGTGTTGCTTTTTGCCGGTTTAGATGAGTCATCCCCAGTTTTGTGCCTCAGGACGTATAGCACACTCACAGGATGTTATGCTAGTACAGGTTGTTGTTGCAGGGCCTAAACTCCTCTTTTCTTTCCAGCGTTCAGCACAGCTCTATTGTTGCCTATTGAGAGGTTGCTGGCTGCACAGCACTGAGGGGTTAACTCTGAACACAGAAGGCAGCAGCCTCATCTCCTTTCTCTTTTTGTCTTCTTTTGCTGACTTGAGGAACTTTTTTAAACCTGTGTTAAAGATAAACCAGGAGCCCCTGTCACCTAAAGTCCTGAAGCCCTAAAGCCTTTCAGTGAGCCTTAAACTCATACCTGATATTTAGTTTGTGAAGTTCTGTGTTGGAAAACAGTGTAATTGGGACTGATTCAGTTTTAAATGCAGTAATGACACTGAATTTAGTGACAACAGTTTACATTTTGTTAAGCTGCAACTACAATACCAGTCAAAAGTTTAGACACACCAAACAATGTCTGCAAATTTGTCTTTTTTTGTGAAAATAACTCTACAGGGAACAAACTTAAATATGACATTTTTCTGCAAAATTTAGCCCACAATTTTTCCAAACAGGGGCTCCTTTTTTTCATAATCATAAAGACATACTGACTTACACTTAAATGCTTGGGATTTGTTTCTAAGACAAATAAAGAGATTCATTTCAAAATGCTGTATATCCATCATTTTTTGAAAAGAATAACAGTTGATGAATAATGTAAAACATCTTTATGTCCCTAATAAAAGTAGCATTAGAAATAATATTGATATTTCTTTTACATGTAAAGCCCACTCTCGACATACTGTATATCATGAAAAAAATCTTAAACGTGGCCTATAATGTGTTTTGGAATGAAACCCTTTAAAATAAATAGTGCTGTTGATTGATCAAAACTAAATATTATTAATATAAGTTGAATAAAAGCAGTTAAATTGCTTGTTTGTACATGTGTATATGAAACAGGAGTGCAAATTTGGTCTGACAAGTGGGCGGGACCAGGGAGGCTATAGAACACATACAACAATTCATACACAAAACTTGGTGAACAGAATACACCAAAATATTTTAGCTAAATACCTAAATAAAGATAAATTTGATCATAATTAAGTAGAAATAAGAAAGACTATTAATAACTGTTATGATGATCAGCCATGACATTAAAAACCACCTCTTTGTCTCTGTCTACACTCACTGTCCATTTTATCAGTTCCACTTACTATATAGGTGCACTTTGTAGTTCTACAATTACAGACTGTAATCCATCTGTTTCTCAGCATGCTTTGTTAGCCCCCTTTTACCCTGTTCTTTAATAAAGTCAGGACCACCACAGGTCCACCACAGAGCAGGTATTATTTGGTGGTGGGTCATTCTCAGCACTGCAGTGACACTAATGTGGTGGTGTGTGCTGTGCTGGTACGAGTGGATCAGACACAGCAGTGCTGCTGGAGTTTTTAAACACTGTGTCCACTTACTGTCCACTCTATTAGACACACTTACCTTGTTGGTCCACCTTGTAGATGTTAAGTCAGAGACAGTAGCTCATCTGCTGCTGCACAGTTTGTGTTGGTCATCCTCTAGTCCTTCATCAGTGCTCACAAGAACGCTGCCCAAAGGTTGTTGCTGGCTGGACATTTTTGGTTGGTGGACTGTTCTGAGAGTATCAGTGACAGTGAAGTGCTTAAAAACTCCAGCAGCACTGCTGTGTCTGATCCACTCGTATCAACGCAACACAAACATGCTACCACCACCACATGAGTGTCACTGCAGTGCTGAGAATGACCCTTTTTTAAAAGATTTTTTTTAACATTCCACAATGTTCTTAAATTGCCTCATGCTGAATTTTTTGAACGTGTTGTCGGCATCAATTTCAGAATGAGTGTATATTTATAAAAAATAATGAAGTTGAAAGGGCAAAACATTACATATCTTGTCTTTGTACTGTTTTTGTTCAAATACAGGTCAGGGAAGATTTATAAATCAGTGCTTTTTGTTTATTTAAAGGATACCTACATAATGACTTTATGAAATATGCATAGGCATTTCAGATATTTAAAAAGTAATATTTGCATGTTAATGAACAGCTTTAATTCCTTTAATTAGGTATATACCTTGTAAGCTCAGTTACATGAGAATGATGCTTCATAACAGTGTTATAAATAGAACAAATGCCTTTCACTGTAACCCCATTACCCCAGGCTTATTACATACTAAGGCTTATTATTTAGTAACTACAGGGACTTCAATGCAAACTGGCTGAGCTAGGCCCAGGCCATTTAAGGGGTTCATTTAAGACTTGTAATGTCAATTCAATGTCATTTACTTACTAAAACATCTTATGTCTTCTTGCTCATACGAACATAAGTGGTTTATAAATAAAAATAAAGTATTAGTTTCTAAATGTTATGTAGTGCTCATGCATGTGACATGAAGTCCTTATGTAGGTCTCCTTCAAATATTGTCTCAATATTTTTTTAAACAAACTGTAGTTTTCAGCAGCTAACAAATGCTCAGCATATGTGGAACTTCTTCAAGACAGAAAAGCGTCCCAGATGGCTCCTGATGAAGCTGCATAAGGGAATGCCAAGTGTATGCAAAGGCAAATGGTGAGTTACTCTGAAAAAACTAAAATAAAATTTTTGATGTAACATTTTTATTGTCACCACATAATTGTTTGTGTTATTTCATAGTTTCAATGTTATTCTAAAATGTGGAAAATAGTAGAAATAAGAAAATCTCTTCAACAAGCAGGCACATCCAGACTTTTGACTGACCCAGTATATGCTTCTGTGATAGACTAGACAGGAAAAATCCATAAAAAATAAATCACATCTATATAAAAATATGTATTTGAAGTTAACAGAAAGGAAGCGGCTTTGACAAAGACAAAGGAGATTGTGTGCAGATGTATGGTGTACCTTGACGTCAGGGAAAAAGGTCTTCAGTACGTTTGAACTTGGGTAGCGTGTGTAGAAGAACATCAGTTTGGCTTTCTTCAGATGGTTGGGGGTTAGACCCTCTTGGATGTAGCACAGTTAAGGACCGAACAATCGCTTACAGAGATACATATTCATTTTGCAAAGGAAGAAACGTAAAAATAATTTACTTTGAGACATATTTAACAATGCATGAGATGATTCACTCAACCAAAAAAAGTGTCAGACCTGTATACTTCCGTTAGATGCAGTACATTCACTGGTATTAAATTTAGTCACGCAACCACATATGCAACTCTCTTTAACTCTGGAGGATTTAATTTGACACTGGTGACTTTACTGTGCAGCACAAATGAAATATATTTAGACAGCCCTACTCCAACCATAGAGTCAATTAACACACAACAGCATGTGCTAATTGGAAAAAAGAGCTAAACAAATTAGATTAGGGACTTCAATTAGAGACTTCCACTGAACGCATTTAGTTTCATGTCCACCAATAGTAACTGATTTGTTGCCAAAACACTGAGAAGACCAAACGCAATTTGGATCTCTTACACCCGCAGCAGCACTTAAAAACTCTCTAATTGTTTAAATCGAGGAAGGGTCCGCCTGCATTCTTCCCGTTCACTGTATAGAAAGGAACCACACCTCAGGTAATAGCTTCTTATCCACTGGAAGGTCATAACAGAGCAGGCATTTATTAGGAAACAGTGCCTTTGAAATGGGGATACTGAAATAAAAGATTGATGAGAATTTGTTCAAAGAGAAGCATGCTGTAGCCCAACGCAGAGGAAAGATAAAGCACATCCTGAAAGAGAGCTGATAATGCATCTTAAATCACTCCGTCCATGGATGGAGTCCAGCTCTGACCACTCGCTGGAGCTGCAATAACAGTGAAAAAAGTGAAATTCACCACTGTGGTAATCATCCTTTCAAAAATACTCTCGTGTGGAATTTAATGATGATAAAAGGCCAAACGTCCAATGCTCTGAAACATGTGTACATAACAATATATGCTGTATGCCAGGCACCAAGGTTGAAGAATAATGACAGCGGAGAGCTTCCTTTTCACAAACAACCGAAAGTGACCTCTCTGATCCATTCCAATCACATTGAGAGTACAGAAACATATTCCGCACCTTTTCAAGTCAAGAGAAAAAAAATCAAGAGAATTTCCTGAACAGAAACTGCTGCTTTTTCTGCCTTTGAAAATTGGCTTTTGTTCCTGACAATTCTTATCAAAGCCTTGTATTCCTTTTTATTTGTCTTTTTCTGGACTTAAAGTCATTACTGGGCCCAGATTAAAGAAGATGCTACAATTTTCTTTAGGGTTACCGAGATCAAAGTAAAAATTCTCCTTGAAGTCTGTGTTAGTGGAACTGCTCAGCGCAGCACTCAATTCAACGAGTCATTGTTCACCAAGGTAGGGTTCAGAGCTGGTAGTTTGTTCAGCTGTTCCTCTGTGTTAAATCTCATATATACTACCACATGGCAAATAACAGTAAATTAAAGAACAAGCAAGGCAGTTTCAAAGTAGTTAAGCCAAATGCATGGGTATTTGCACAAGTATTCACTTAAAAGGATGTGCAACACAACATTTTCTTGCAAATAATGCTGCTAATAATATACTGCATATGGTCAATTTGTCACTGCTGTTTCATTACAAAACAAAATGTCAGCCTCCACTGAGTGAGCTTTGAAAAAGGATATATTCAGTGACATGAAGGTGCTCCTCTCTGCCATGCTCTGCAGGTCACCGCACTCCATCTTAACGTGAGGGAGGCACAGGCTGTCTACTGTGACTTGTCCGAGTGCCCCAGGGCGATGGTGCTGGCCAAGGTGCCCAGAGCTTACCTTGGACCTCATGGCAATGCTTTCCCAAGGAAGGTCCATTGAATCTGGGGACGACCGGTCCAGGGACGGGGGGAGGCAAGGGATCCCACCGAAATTAGCATGAGGTCCATACTTCAGGAGATGCTCCAAGATCTGGCTGTCATGGAGGGGGGCACTGTAACTGAACTGGAAGGGAGCCTGGTGGAGTGGATATGGCCTCTTCACCTGCTGGCTTACTGAGCTCAACTGGTTCAGAGTGGGTTTCCGGACCACTAGGGACAAAGCTTCAGTCTGGTGCTCTGGGCTGGGGGCGGGGGTGCTCTCATAGAACTCCAGAGGCCTGGACTTTGAGACATCTTCAGAGTCGGACAGCTCTGGAGCGCAGGCTTGTTGGGCTCGTTTCTCCACATTTGTGTATTCTGGGCTTTGACATACTTGTGGCTGTGGCGACAGGGTCATGGAGAGCTTTCTGAACACCATATCAACACTTTCACTTACAGCCCTGGACAGCTCACACTTCAGCATCTCCTGTAGGCTCTTTTGATCTCTCTCTGAGCTCAGATAGCTGCCGTCCGCTTTCATTCTCTCCTTGTTGCCAATCCTTTTGTTGTCAGAGTCGATGCTCAAATCCAGCTGCGCCTCACTGATGTCTTCCTGAAAATCTCCTTCCCCTTTCTCTTCGTTCTCAGAGTTACCATGGTCATACATCTGGAGGAATTTCTCCTGGAGTTGGCGCAAAAGGCGCTGCATGCTCTGGAGTTGCTCTCTCAGCTTGTGGCACTCTTCATCTTTGCTTGTATTAGCGCTGCTAGTCATGGTCAAAGTTGTAGAATGACTGTGTTCCTGGTGCTGCGGAAGCTTCCGCTTGCGCTTGCTCTCCTTGTAGACTTCTGTGCCGTACCTGCCGGCTTCACCTTCCACGCCATCTCCTTCTCCATGTGATCTGTCACTAGGGGAACCTGCCATGCCACGTATGATGTTCTCCACTCTGGCCCGTTTGGCCTGGAGGTGCTCGCTCAGTGGGCGTTCAGGTTCGGCGCTCATTCCAGATGGGTGACCCCCAGGGGACGATGACTCCCCCAGGCTGTCCTTGGAAGACATGCTACTCCGATCCTCCTGAGCAGACTCAGCCAAGGTGGATCCTGAATCAACCAATCCAGCTCCAGATACGGAGGAGGGCGGCAAGTAGAGGTGGCCGCTGTTGAGAGCGGGCCGCTTGCTGTGGATGGTTTTTCGCAGGAGATGAGAGATCAGGGATCCACTGTGGTAAGAAGAGAGAGGTTCCTCATACATGCCTCTGCGAAAACAGGGCAGCATCAGGTCTGCTTTGCTGTCCTCCAGACAACCATCATTAGGCTTATGAATGCTTTGGTCCGGTGGAGTTAGATTCATGTTTGCAATCAGTTCAATTCAATTTTATTAAACTCAATACTTCAGTTAACCAACGAATTGCGCAGTACAGTGACTCCAAATAGGCTATTAATTTGGTGTACCTAAAACAAAAAGCAATTTAAATAAATAAATTAGTTGTTATTATTAATATTAGAGGCATTTTCACACTCTTAGAAAATCACGTACAATACCAGTCAGACATTTGACCTGACTGAAAGTATGTTTTTCATAATCTTCAAGACATTGTGATCTAAGGGTTTACACTAAAATGCTTGAATTTTGTTTTCAAAGGCAGCCAACAAGTGCTCAGCATATGTGGGAATTTCTTTAAGACTGCTGGAAAAGCATCCCAGGTGGCTCCTCATAAAGCTGCTTGAGAGAATGCCAAGAGTGTGCAAAGCTACATTAAGGCAGGGATTCTTCTACTTTGAAAATTCTAAGAAAGAAGATAGTTTTGATTTCTAATACTTTTTTCCTCATGGCATAATTCCACCATGCATGTTATTTTACAATTTTTATGTCTTTGCTCTTATTTTAAAGCATGGAAAATATTAGTGTAAAATAAAGAAAAACGCTTCATAAACAAACCTGTCTGCAAGCAAATGTAAGAGGTACTTTACCTTTATGAGAAACACGAAGATGTGTTTCATTTTATCAGTGTTAGTAAGACACACTGTTAATCCTTTTTAACTTAGTTTACAATGCCTTTTACCAGCTACATACAATTTAGTTTATACATATTATACAGCAGAAGACAAAGTTGTATTTAATAAATAGATTTTTTTTATGTAAAAAGACAAAAAAGGAGCTAAAGCAGCTGTTTTTTCTCCAGCTTTAGGTAGACTGAATATAGAATACAGAATGAAATAATAGGTGAGTACGCAGTGACAAAAAAGGGATCAATGATTGTTGATGATGAACCTTGTTCATACAATTAATAAGCAAGTATTAAGCTGATAAAACAATTAGATGAAAGGCTACTGAATAACTGAAGTGAATAAAAAAATAAATTTCTATTTTACAAATAATCAAATCCCATTTTCTCAAATGTCTGTAAATATCAAATTAGTAATATTTAAACATTTTTATCTCTTTTTCTCTCTTCTACCACAGAATGTATTTAAGAAATGTGGAATCACTTGTGATGTTTAAATGGAATATCATAGCAAACATGCAGGGAATGATCGGTTACCAACAGGGACCTTAAACGAAGAGACTTACAGAAAACAATGCGGAAATGAAATGTACACCTTTATATCTAATTCAGTATAACTCTTAAACCTAAACATATATACATATATACATTTATATGTTTAGGTTAACAGTACATAGAAATCTATTTCTTTGAATCTCTATAATTTGCAACTGTTTTGTATTCTGCTTTGAGAAGCAGTATGTTATGTTGTATAACATACAACAGTAAATCTGTAACTCATTTGTAATGCTCAGCAAAATGGAATACAGCACATTCAGTGAATTGTAAATTCATATTCAGTTTTCCTCAAAAGAATTACTGCTTGTAGATTAATAAATAAATGTAGAAAATAAATTTCCAGCAATGATCACTGACCACACTGTGTATCCACAATATTATTATTATTATTATTATTATTAATAACAATAATAATAATAATCTTCAATAACAACAATATTCTTCATTGTTATTGCTTATATTCTCTGTAAAGCATTTTCAAAACTGTGCCATATATAATTTAGCTAAAATATGCTCAAGATAATAGTTCACTTGCAGATCGTCTGAAGGCTTTGAAAATGGCAACAAAAATTTCCCAAAGTCTACAAAGTATGCAACATAATTTTAACATGCAAACCGCTATGAAAACAGCTAAAGGCTTTCAAAGTTGCACAGGCCATTGATGAGATAAAACAGCCTCGGAAGAGCAGGGAAGAGCGAGGAGAAAGCCCGTCTTACCTGTTGCTCTGCGCGGTGTGAGTGGCAGTGAGAGCCGGTGGGCTGCGCCTCCAACCCCTCTGCAGGATGGAGAGGAGGAGCCTGAGCATCAGAGCACAGGCAAGGCCAACTCACACGGGGCCTGCCTTCACATCACTCTGCTCACTTTACTGCTTTACGAGGACAGCCTATCATATAATGTCGTCAACGAGGAAGGACCGTAATTCTAGATTACTGCTCATTTGAAGCGCTCTGCTATGATTTAAAGAACATGTTATGTACGTGTAGAAACGTGGGAGCCCTATTTGCGTTGTAGCACCAGATTCAGATATTCTGTAGTATATAATTTATAAATTATATAAAAACTATTTTGCAAACGTGTTATTTGAAATACATTTACGTCTTACTACAGGGCTAAAACACATCACATGTTTATTGCAATATAATCTGACCAATTCGTTTATTAATAGGTGTCCTACATTTTGTACAAAAGTATTTGGACACCCACTCCTAATCAGTGAATTCAGCTGCTTAAGGTGCACCCAATGTTACAGGACCTGTTTAAAAAAACGTTAAGATGACTGTATTAAACAGCTCAATAGTAATACAACTTAAAAGTAAATAAAAACTAAAAATAATGTGACGAAGACCGAGAGAAGTAGCGTGAACCTACTCAAATGAATAGCCAATAGAATGGGACGCTCTGCTCTGGAACAGCCACACATGAGCCTGTGGTCACCATGTGCAATGCCAAGGGTGGGAGATGAGATGAGTGTAAAGCCCCCCGGCACTGGGATGTGGAGCAGTAGAAGTGCGTTCTCTGGGGTGATGGAGCTCCAACCAGTACCTTTGGGATGTTAGAGATCCAATATGAGGGTCTGGCTAATGCTCTCGTAGCTAAATACCATCAATTCCTCACAGTATTGTTCCAACATCTAACTTGAAGAGCCTCCTTAGAAGAATAGAGGCTGTTACTTCAACAAAGTGGTGACTTTGATTTCGCTGGCTGAGCTGGTGTCTACAAACTTCTGGACACGAAGTGCATGTTGGTATAATCCACCCTGTTCCCATCCTCCCCCTTCCGCCGGCTGATGGTTCACCCCGGCGTGGTTGTGCCGCTGTGCCGCTTGTCCTGTTCCCTCCTGCGGGCCTTTACCGCTCTGTGTACGGGAGGCGCGGATTGCTGGCTTCGCAGCCGACATGTTTTCCCGTTCCCGCTGCCTCACTCGCACCTTCGGCCGCTCCATCTCCGCCCTCCGGCAGGTACGTATCCGTAGCTTCTCATATTTGCGCCTGGTTTTGTGCATTTTGCGGTCAGCTTTACTGGCAGCTGCTAAAGGCCATGAATGAGTTAGCGTAGGCCTCGCCCGCAGGACCAAGGACAGCATGTCACCGCTACTTATCTGCTACTGAGGCTCGTTGTTAACCTTTAATTTACAAGTGCAAAGTGTTGTACTGACATTAGAGTCTCCGTTATTTATGTAACGGAAACGAGAGCCCCCCTTTCAGCCTTAAATTCAATGTAGTCAAGGCTTTACTGAGGTCATTTTGGGAAAAAAATGAATGTGCCTTCTACGTTAGCTTGCTAGCCTAGCCACCAACCTTAAATCTTCCTGTCACCTCCCGTTTGTGTCCACTCGCAGAGGTCAGACATGACTGCGTTAGATTACACTGGTGGTCATATGTGTCCACAGTGAAGCAGCTTTTGGTTTTACTCTTTAAAATGTGATATTTTATATCCTGCTTTGTGTTGTGTACATTGGAGTCAACTGAGAACACGATAGCTAGTTAGCTGGCTAGCTAGTTTCACAGGCTGGTGGATAGCTAAGGCTAAGTTTGTTTGAGTGTACGTTGCTTTCACATATTCACGGTACCTTGTTTTTAAATATGTTGATAGAGCAGTTGTTTGCCTTTAAAGTCAAAAGTAAATGTTTAAACAAGCACTTAGTGTCCAGTAGGTCCAGGTTACTTCTTCCTGTCCGTTTTCGTAGGCCCACATGTCAAAGTCTTCCCGGTCTTGGTTACCTTATTTAAGTTGTATTACAATTGAGCTGTTTAATACAGTTCTCTTAACGTGGTTTTGAACCAAGACCTGTAGTTTTTGGTTATGCATGACGGAATATCGGTTACCACCAGTGTAAACTACAGCGCTTGGTTTTACATGTCAGTATGTTGAGTGACCTCTTAGCCTCCTCCATGTCTACCCATTACACTGCTTAGACGAAGTCGTATGGCCTGAATGGTTAACCTGTCAGCTAAAATGCCTTTTCTCCATTGTAGTTTTGCCTGTAGGCTGCATCAGTTTTTGACAAGTCCAAACAAAGTCATATGACTTCTGTCAGTGACCGGATAACAGATTGTAAAGTGACACATACACAGATTAGAAGCCTTTGTTTGCTTTTAATTAAGTTAATTTACATCTTCAGAAAAACAAATGTTCTGAAACGGCTGGCAAGGAATATGTCAGCAAAATCATTGTTCTGCTAAGTAACGTAAGGAAGTTGTCTGCATCACTATTGATTACAGTGCTCAAGTTTGGTTGAATAGAAGATGTTAGTGTTTAAGTATGCATACAGGGGCACTTGAAAATAGGAATTACTCTGCCATCTCCATCTGTCTATCTCCTTCATGACCTCTGTACCTCTGACCTCTGTACCTGCCGCTGGAGCTCATTCCAGCTGTGTGCTGCAGATTTGCAAGCCTTTCAGTCTTGTGTTGTTTGTTTCTAAAAGGAAGATGGTGTTCAGAGCCAAAAAACATTCCTGATATTTTACATGTAGACGTACCGTTTGCCTTTACTTTGAGAAGAAAGCATTGTTATTTAATTCCCTACTCCAGGGGCAGGGGCAGCGGCAGCATGTCAGCTGTGCAAGTTAAATATAGTTTGGTGGCTGCAAGAGTTTCCTTAGGTTAAAGTACATGTGCCTTCTAGCAGAGTGGTGTTTGTTTTGTAGCAGATTACATATATTATATGACCATGTTATGCTGTGGTTAATATGGTTATTAAGGCTACAGTGGTACACTGAAGTGATTAAAGATTAGCTTGACAACAATGCTTGACCAAAATATTTTTATGTACGTTTTATCTAATATATCACTGCTGTCGGAACAAAAGCTCTTATCTCCATTTTTGTTGTTTTTCAGTTTTGACATAATTAAAAAAGATGCCTGTTGGTCTTTACATTGTGTGTAAATTTCATGATTAATGAACCAAAAGGAGCTGGCCAGAATTACTTGGAAAAAATTCTGGATCCATTGACTTACATTAAAAGTAAAGTGTTTTTTCTTTATCCTGTAAATTTACCATTTTGGAGATACAAGGTTTTGTTCTGACAGCAGCGAAATATTGGTTATGTCAGATCAAAACCTTGTAGCTCCAGTTTTTTTTCATGCATCATTTGTGCACATGGATAGACCAATTGAAGTGGTCCAAAATTAGTTTTTGTTGCATCAACCAGCATTACAAGCTAAGAATGTTTGGTCTCCTCCTGTAAGATTACCATTTAAGAGAGACATCAGCAACAATAAAATCTATCACCCATAAAATGCAATGCTTAGTACTGGTTTGGCATAGATTTTGATGCATTAATGGCCTTTCATTTATAGGGGAACAATGTCCTAGCAAGACGAGCTGCCTCGGGTAAGTTCCCCGTTTTACTGAACTCCAGTTCTTTTAGTACATTTAAGTTTACCTATACAGCATTTAGCAGGCGCTCTTATCCAAAGTGACTTACAAAAGTGCATTACTGTCTACTTGAAAAATGTATCCTTAATCTAGTAGACCAGTGCTTGTAAGAGTTCACTGCAATTCCATTTTCCAGATAATTTTTGTCTTTCACCAGTTAAAATTCTTAAGTTCTTGGGGTTGTTTGTCTTGCAGGCATATCATCTTCTCAGTGTGTCACCTTCAAGAACAGTTTGTGAGTATTTTATTATTATTGTTTTTATTTTTGCTTAGGATGTTTATATCTGACTTGCGTAAGTTTTTACTTTATGATTGATAATGAGATTTCATATTATTAACTTTGTACCTTGAATTGTAGGAAGTGTGAGGCCAGACCGAGCATCTTTCAAATCAGATACTTCAGGACCACTGCAACCCACAGTATGTACAGCATAATGTTATGGCATTGGGTGGGTGCACCATTATCCAACACAATGTAGTTTTGGTAGAGTTTTGTTTTTTTGTGGGGGAAAAAAAAAAAATCCTATGTATGTTAAACTCTCCAACTGTACTCTTAAAGTGCTGTTCTATTCTTGTCAGTGAGATGCTCATTTTTCTGTGGCATATATTGTCATGGTTTCCTCCGAATAGAGTTAACTAATATGACAATGCGTAAAACCTTAAAGTTCCCATGATTTTCTTAACATTGCTTTATTTACTTTATCCACTACTTGCAAAAAAGTCATTTGTACCTCTTGGTGAAGTTGGAGTCGTCAGCTGCTATATTTTACTATGGGCACTCACCACTCATCTGTTTATAATTATTATTGTAGTGATTCATATTATTCTGGTGAATCACTCTATTGCTGCATGAAAATCCTTTACGTAAATTATTTTCTTTAGCGGGAAGAGCGAACATGTTCTAGTGGCAGTTACTCTGCAGGTTTTTTAAGCTACATACTGTTAATTTTTATTTGTTTTTTTTTTTTATTTCTTGTTAATTATTGTAATTATTATTGAGTTAATGGACAGAACATGTTCTAGCTGCATAGTTAATCTGAAAGCCTGATCTACACACTGTTCATTATCATTTCTAGTTAATTATTATAATTATTTTTAATAGTTGTAGGACGCTCAGCAGATCTGTACAGAATTTTGCATGAAATCATGTCAGCAACTTTTGTCATTGCCTCAAAAATTGAACCAATGAAGGTTGTTTACACATTACAGGAAGATTTAAGTTCATTATGGCTGATGCTAGACAATAACATAGAGAACCTCCAGTGCCAGATCATCATGCTAAATGTACAGCTGTGAATAAAATGTGTAAAAAGTTGATACAGTGTCCCTTTCAGTTGACCAGATTTACAGATACTGTGTTTGAGTGGTTCCATTGCTCTCGACTCTTAATGTTTGGTTCAGTGTTCTACAAGCCATGCCAGAACAATATAGACATCAAGC